GCGGAGGTGTATAGCCGAATCACAGCCCCACCCTTGAGCAACCACACAATTTCACTACATATTTTACTTTTGTAACTCTCTGTGTTTGTGACAAATAGAACTCCTCGTCTACTTGTACAGCCAGCCAGTCATATTTTGGCATTAAGTGGGGTGCTGTTCTGAGGTTTTGATTGATATTACCTAGGTCTTCTTGAGCCATACACTGTCTTGAGATCTTATCCATTGCATCTTTGTCTTGTGATTTTTGACTGAAAGGGCAAAAGGCTAGACCTACTTTGGTTGAACTATGTGGCTCCATCCCTGCTTTTGACAAATAGGTGTGCGATTTGACATGCCAGATTGACTGAAAATTTGAAATATTGGTCATGTTGGTAGGATTGGGTAGGCATGGTGTTACTTGTTGGTACGTGAGTTCGGGGGGGGGTGCCATGAGTGCTCAGTGCCCAGGGGCCCCTGGAGGTACTAATCCGGCCTTGCTAGGAACACCTGAAGGTTGCTATGCTGTGAGATATGTCAGCTACAGTTTTACAGCCAATGTGGGGAATTACAAATAAACACCAATCGGCCACAACTGAGAAAGATTGTTGTCTGAGAGAGAAAAAATGGGTTCAGATGTAAGTCATCTCAAACTTGTCTTTAAAAAAAATAATACGCAAAATACAAAATATTAATATAGCTTACGCAAACATGAGGCATTACATGTCCTGAAAAATAAATAAATGATTCAGCACCTTTTAACTATAGCCTTAATTTCACACAATACTATGAAAAGACTCGTGGTTAAAGCAGCCCAAACCAAAACCCTGAGAGTCACATATTCCCTCTCAATGTATCTCACGTCAGCATTTGAGCCTCCTTTATGCCTGCTGGTGTTAGTATTCAGAGTTAAAAGATAACATTTGTTTTACTCCTGCTGAGTTCAGCAGTATTGGACTTCAGTGGTATTGGAGTACCTTCCTTACGGATGGCTGCAGAAAAACCGAGGCTGGAATAGATTACGAGTGAAATTCATTTTAACTTCAGATATATGGAACCAATGAGGATTGCCAAGAATATGCTTCTATTTAAAATGTCCAAGTGGATAAAGGCGTTCTTGAATGTGTTTCACTGGGGAGTATCTCCAAATGGTGGCTGCTATTCAGTTATACATTACTGTAACTGAAAAGGGTGCAGTCAAATGAATGCTTCTAGAAGATAAAACATTAAATCATGTTTACCTTATGACACATTTTCTTAGTTTTGTATTCAAGGAGAATATTCATAATAGCTTGTCTTGTTGTGACAAATGGCACTAAATTGTGCAAGTTAGAACTGGAAAGGAGTGATCACAGCAGGCTATTATATCTTTATATATCTATTGATCGCTGCATGGTGATTTATAGTGAGTGATGTAAAAACGCTGGGGGCATGCTATGCATCACTTTTACTCTGGAGGAGCCAATACTTGGCAATAATTACATACATGGAGGAAATAGACCTCCTTAAAGACACAAATTGGGTTTTTAACTACAATAGTCCTCCAAAAAACTAATTCATTTCATATGCTATAAATTCCTAAGAACGTGCTATATCTTTGAACAATGCATTGAATCAGGACTGCCGGTTGAAGTTGTCCTGTTTTGTAGAGCAATAGTTTATCATATTGATTTCAAGCAGCCATTGGTTACCATTAAGTTTACTGTTCTGTTAAGTAGAAACCATTGGTGATTACAGTCATGTAATTAAATGATAATATTTTGCACTTTCATTGAACTTTGTTTTTAAGAAATGTGAATGCTAAATAATTGATTATGTAAAAATAACTATGTATCACTTTTACTCTGGAGGAGCCAATACTTGGCAATAATTAGATACAAGGAGGAAATAGACCTCCTTAAAGACATAAATTGGGTTTTAAACTACAATAGTCCTCAAAACAAACAAACCTCCAATGCTATAAGTTCTTAAGAACGTATTATATGTTTAGCAATGCATTGAATCAGGACAACCGGTTGAAGTTGTTCTTTTTGTGAAGAACAGTATAATAAGAACAATACAATATACAATAAATCAAAACCAGACATGCATTTAGAAACATTAACTTTAATAGAACATGTTTCTTTGCCCCTTCTGAGCTTCATGATAAGCCTCGGCTCTTGCTCAGTATGGGTGTGAGATTGCCCCTCCAGCCATGAATGCTCTATGGTAACCTTTGTGCTTCCTCTTGGCGTTTGCTAATATCACAGGCCTCTGAAAAAACCCCAGCCTTTAGCATGCTGCATGCTGTCCTGGCTGCATTGTTGAAAAGAGCAGGGTGTTCAGATGTGAAGCCTCCACTCCCTCCCCAGGATGGCAACCAGCCACTCCACTGGGCTCTGCACACAATGGCTCCTGGCCAGCTCTGTGATTGTCTGGAAATGTGAATTTGATGCACTAAACAGTTTGTGTCTGTCATGACTGATTAGCGTCCTTGTTGCGGTTGGTCAGAGGTGCCTAGTGCACAGATAACACTAGGATGCACAGGCGTTTTTTGTGGCAAGCATGTTAATATATTGGTGACCCTCGAGCTAAACAACACATCCAGCAGGACACGCATTACACGTTTCAAAGGAGGAAGGGCAAGGCATTTTATGTAGTGAGGCGAGCACAAGATAGTAAGAGTTTTCGTCACTAAACCAAAGACTATATTTTTAAAACAATATATTATTTCAAGTGATTCTTGGTTTTCTGTGGTAATAACAAAATAACCTTTCAACGGAGTCCATTAAACAGCTATTAGTCAAGAAGTAAGTCAGGATAAAGAGAGACCTATTTTCCTTTGCAGGCCTGCGTACATTAACTTTTACCAGATTGCTCGTGATCTTCTTCTAACCGTCTCCTCCCACTCTGCTTAACCTCCAGCATAGAGGTTGTAGAATTCAACAAGCTAGTGGCCTTGGTTCCCTCTGTCTTGTAATCAATGCCTTCCTCCACTGTTAAGCACTGGAGTTATTGATGTCTCCACACTGGCTGCACTGGGCCGACTGCCAAGCTGTGTGAGACTCCTGTGCCAGGATGACTTCTCCTTGGCTGCTATTGGCTGAGCTCGAAGAATCACAGGCCCCCCCTGCGCATTTAGGTCTCAGGACTTCAATGGCAGATACAATGACAATTTGTCTGGTTCTGCAAAATAAAGCTAACCTAACAAAGAAACAAACTTTTTGTGCCCTCTAGTGTCATTTATCTCGCTGGTAAATTACTTTGTTTCCTTAGAATGATAGTACTTGTGTTGACCCATGCAAAGGTTTATCATATTGATTTCAAGCAGCCATTGGTTTCCATCAAGTTTACTATTATATATATAAAACGTGAAAACAGTCATGTAATTAACTGATAATTCTTTGCACATTCATTGAACTTGAAATGCTAAATAATGGATTATGAAAAAAAAAAAAAAAGGTCAGTGTGGTTGGCAATCAATTCTGAAATAACACGTTTTTGAGCATCCTTGAGTGCATGGTGCACAACCTGGGAGAGTTTTTAAGAAGGTAACTGCTGACAACAAAGCAAATGCACAAAACTGTTCACTAACAGATCTCTCATCTCAAAAAGGTTTCTAGTTTGAATTTGACTCTGTAGTGCTGAATGAAAGCCAATGGCTGCCTGGAAAACCATTTGAAAACAATAATGAGTGCCTTGGAAAGTAGTGTTAAAGAAGTATTTGTGATTTGTAGTTTAATCTGACATCTTAATATTTTGTTGTCAAAGAAAATATAAATGTTTCCACACATGTGGAATACAAATTGCAATATTTACTGTGGCTTAGAAATTACTTCACTGCTGAAAATGTAGATCAGTCTGAATGGACTTGCCAGGTAAATGTGCCCCTTGATGAGGGTGCCAGGAAACACTGCAAGGTGATAATTTCACACCATCTTTGTGTTTTCATTCATCAAAATTAAACACAGTCCCAGTAGTTATTATCACACTCTGCTACCCAGAGCATTACCCAAGTAGGTTCGTTGGGTAATTCAAATAAACAGCACACTTCCAAATATCCTTGTACCTTGATGCTTAACAATAATACACAGGGTGAATACACACACACACACACACACACACACACACACACACACACACACACACACACACACACACACACACACACACACACACACACACACACACACACACACACACACACACACACACACACACACACACACACACACACACACACACTTTAGCTACAATATAATGAGGTCAAAGATGCTAAACCACACAACGCACTGACTCTAATCCTGCTCTGGTTGTGTTGTGTGTGACTCTAGGGCTCCTCCAAAGTCCAGGGTCTCGGAGCTGGAGGTGATCTCCCAGCAGGTGGAGGAGGACAACCAGGCCCCTGTCCAGCTGGTCAGCTTCGCCTACAGAGACCTACCTTTGGCCGGCCTGGACATTTCCCTTGCTGGATCCCAGCTCATCTCGAACCCGGACGAGGAGGACAACAGGGATGGGTACGTCCTGCAAATTCACCTTGACATCGTCCGTCACTTTCTTCTGTTGCGTGATAGTTTGATAAGTAAAACACCTAAAAAGTCTGTAAAACAATCCCTTGGAATGATTTATTTATTGGTAAGAAGTAGTGAGGGGTTTGGTTTGCCTGATACAGCTAGTTGAGTGGGGTCCTGTTGGAAAAAAGGCGTTACATCCAAGGAATGTAAAGCTCATCTATCTGTGAACATTTATCTTTTAGAGCATATCAAAAATCATTCATTTTGCTGATGCTTAAAACATATTAGTACTATTATCATCAAGGAAGTCTTTCTATAATTAATTTATATTATAAAAAACCCAAAATGTAATTACAAAAATGTATCGATGTTCCTGATGTTTGCAATCATAGTTAACATACTGGAAATATGTGTTGGAGACTTTGCTTGTTGGGTGGAAGTACTACATCCATAATTAAGGAAGAATCGCAATTACCACAATCTATAATCTACCCTGGTAGAGAAAAGCACGCCGTCACTCCCCCCCCACTGCTCGTTATTGCACATGGTAATTACACCTGCCGTATTATTGAATCACCCCTCATTTTATATTAGAGTGTGCGAGTCGAGGATATTTGGTGATGAATGTATTAGTGTCACCATGTTAAATGGACAATATTCCCACTGATGTTTTCATTTCAGCTTAATGACACAGCAATTTCTCACTACCAGACAGACTTCTGTTCATAATGTCGATTTCTGGGAGAAAACAAAGAGAGTCGTCAGCACCATAGCTTCCCTGAAATGTCAGAGCCCTGTAGCGGTGCTGTTTCTGTCCACCAGGCCTGCTTGTCCAGGGTTGTGTTGTTTTCTTATCGGCACGCTGCAAGCTCAGTATTCTCAGGACAGGACGCGCCCCTGCTACACCCCCCCTGTAGCAAGTGTCCACGGCTCTCCACTCATGAAGCGTGACTCACAACCCTTTGGCAAACTGCGATGATGGCATCCATGCAGAGAAAGTTGAGAAACAGCATAGGCTTAATTAGAGCATCCTGCTTTTTACCATCCAAGCCCTGGTGTGTCAGCTGACGGTGTGTCAGCTGGACTTTGCCTGGTCTGGCCCGGTCCATGGCTCTGTGGGACGGGGCAGGGACAGATGGGTCCTGTCCCAAACACCCACTCTCTCATCCTACCTCTTAGCTTTCTCTCTCTGTGTTGCTCACAAAGGGGAAAGAAAACACATATCAATGCCACAACAGAGGGCAGGATCTGGCAGCCCAGCAAAATTATCATCACAGTGGGCACTCTCAAGTAGCACCATATGACACCCTGGTCCCCTGGGATTTGGCATCTTGCAGTGGAAAAGTTATTCCCTGCCAAGATATTTCTCTGAGGGATTTGTCAAGTGAATGATGTTTCACATTAAAGTGAGGAGCCATTCATTCTGATCTCAGAGTCCAGGCAGTCTGAAAGACTTCAGCGGACTGGTGCAGACAGAGTGCAATCTGACATCAATGCGAGTCTCGTTCGATGAGCTTTTTAGATTGGAATTCCTGATTTTCAGGTCACAAGCATTCCAGGACATACCTGTCATCACAGTTTCATGCTCACATGTGTCTTTTGGAAGAGCTCGTCGCCACAGTTTCTGGCTGCGTCTGTGACTCATGTGTGAGGAATGGCAAAAAGGTGGGATGTGTTGTATGCAGCAATATTTTAAACTGAAAAAGACTATCCTAATGGCAAAGCATTAAACTGTCTGGTTTGTTTTGCTCTGATAACTCTTTTTTTCTTGTTCATTGGTATGTGTAGTCACAGTCTGCATTCTGGAGGCTAACTTTAGCACTCTGTAAATGATTGTGTACAAGAATGTATTTCATTGTGTTGCAGCGTATTCTGAGAATGAGCAGGACAGTTTTTTTTTCTCAAGCTACTATGACTGAGATTCCTGTGTAGGGCCAGGCAATATGTATATAAAAAATACCCCAAGATTGCGTCAGTGTTGTAGGGTTGACTATTGGTATATAACAAAGTTGGCAAAGGCAAAAAAGAAAACAGTCCGGTAAGGTCAGAAAATGCATTACATAACTTTGCTGTAAGGCAGCATTAAAAACCAGGAAAAGCAACACTTCCCGTATCGAAAATCAAAAAAAGGTTCAGTTTTAAGTATCAAAATATCGATATATTTGTGACACTGTATATATAGCAGCCCTATTCCTGAGATGTTTTTATATTCTAATGATATCATTTTGTTGACGTGACTTTATCCTGTGGTAGAACATGAACAGGTCATTCTGATTTCAGTTTGATCATTACCATAACTTGCTGGTGAAGTGCATATCTCTTGTCAGTGCTTTAGTTTGGATCTGGACATGGTCAAAGGTATAGCTTCAAACCAAATACCAATGATTGGAAAAACAAGACTCTTATCTTTCATGTTGAGGCCGTGGATTTGTTTTGATTCTTACGGTTGTGAAAAAAACAGCAGAAGATGACATACCAGAGATGCGCTTTTAGTATTGCATGGCAGCTCCTCGTGGCTCTTTATCGGGAAACGTGGGCGGCTATGTAGGAGGTGGATGTTCTTGCGGACTACAAGGGGCACATGCAGTCCTTGCAGATTCTGTGCAGTGGTGAGCTGGATGGATATACTAATAGATGTTGGCAGCACCATCTTCTCTAGAACGTGCTAGAAAGATGAGAGCGTTGTGGTTTCACATCCACCTTTGGTCACTTAATTACCATCTCATTTGCATTATTTAAAGGGGTTGCCCTTTATAGAGGATCATGTTTCAGGAAACCACAGAATATGGGGTTTCTTTTAATAGACTTGAATGCTCTGTCATTTGTCTATGTTTTGATTGAATCGAGCACCTAACCGAATTTCGCTACTTTAATTATTTTCAAACCTGGTTTAAGTCATCATGACAGGCTCCTGGATAGCATCTCCCTGCGCGTGCTGCACTTGTCCGGGGTTATCGTCCCCAGATCAGCCTGCCGCCCTCAGCGTCAGTACCATATGCCGCTGATCTCCAGGGGCCATGCAGAGAGGTCTGAGGCGCCGCAGCAATGACAGAGGGTTCATATGGGTCAACCTGTCACTCTGACTGGAGAGGAGGAGATAAAGAGAATGTTGGCGGGAGGATGACTCTCCTACACTCTTTAGCTGCAAAATTCAAGGAAGTATAATGTCATATCTGTCCATGTTGGATGGTGGTGTGGGATTAACCCTGTGCCACGTCGCATGTTGACAGCCACAGTTCCTGATACAGTGTCCGGGGAAATGTCGGATAATATATAAGCTTAAGTGAGCTCAGTCCAGCTCAGAGAAAATACATTACTCAACAGTGTTCAGACTTCCGTAATGAACCAACATTCTGCAGTCACTGTAATGCATTAATAGAGCAGTATATTAACAAGCATACTGTATAATCAAAGATACAGAATCAGACTCAAGGTTGAATGAAAAAGAAATCATTCGAAAATCTATTCCATAAAATACAGCACTGACGGACCTTGACAAAGTTTGCTGTGAATCTTGGCAGCAGCAGTATTTCACGGGGCTTTGAAAGAACAGCCGTACGATACCTGTGCTGTGTTGATGGATCTTTGAAAAGAGAGCAGGATTTCTCTCCCCTCACTACCTCCCCCTCCTGACTCTATTTCAAACACACAGAGGAACAGTCCTCTCCATCAAATTGTCTCTCTTGCCTGGCACCATGTGCGACACAATAGGTGACATTTGAGTGTGGGGTTTGAGGGTTTGTTAATATTCACAGACATGTAAAGTGTGAGATTGCTTTTTAGACTGAGAGCGAGAGAGATCAAGTGTCCTGGTGAAAACCCATTTATCAGGGGACAGTTTGTCTGCTGCTCTGCCCATGAGCCCCATCCATCTCCATTTGCTTAGTATCCGTGGCCCATTTCTCTGGCAAAGACCAGCTCCGACTCCCCTCTGCTAGCTTGTACCGATAGTGTAGGATGCAAGGAGTGGTGAGACGATAGCTGATAGCACTTGGAAACCGCCTGGCTGCATTTTCATAAGAAGAAAATAAATTAGTTTACTTATACCCAGAGGGAATTCTTAAGCCTAAACTTTATTTATTGCCATCAAATCAATGAGGCATTTTCATTTGATTTGTTAATTTACCACAAAAGGGATAATTCCCCTAGGCCTGAGACTGTCAGAGATTAATAGAGAAGAGATTTGAAAATAAAATGTACAATTGATTACCTATGATAATTTCATTTCCTTTAATCAGCATATTTATTGCATAGCTGGTTTTGCTCTCTCAGGGCGTCTTTGTTTCTTTTGGCTGTTATAAGATAACACAACCAAATTGGGATCAATAAAGTACCATCTTATCTTATCTTACGACTCAGCAGTGGTTACACAGGAAACCATATACCCAGTTGTTATGCTGGCATTTGTCTTGAATTCCAAGCAACCTGGGCAGATACCCAACCTGTGATTTCACTGAAGTGCAGAAGAGAAGATCTCAAGTGAAATAAATTGCATATATCAGGAAAGAAATACAATTCCTATTCACATACATGAAGCAAGGAGCAAGTGTGACACAGAGAGTTTGAACAGCCTGAATGAGTTGAAGTCCTTCATCCTCTGCTGTTCAGCAGCCTGCAGGCGCACAGTAGAGGTCCATTTTCCCCTGCCCAGGCCTGCTGAGTTCAGCAGATTGGTGTGAATTGGTTGAAGTTTATTCTGGAGGTACCACGGGGCTATATAGTTATCAGTACAGAGAGAGAGTAATTGAGAGGAGACAGAAACCCTGAGTCTAGTAGTATCATTTTAAAATGCTGCCGTGTATCTGACATTGCCCCTCACACCTTCAAAGGATACATTCGATTCAAATGTTTTTCTCCAGTTTCAACAGCCAGCATGAGATTAATGAGATGTCTGCCACTTGGAGAATGAGCATTATAATAATAAAACATTTCTACAAGTATTTAAAAAAAAATGTTTAGGCTATCTTTGAAAAACGTACCTATGGCGTGTCCTGACCTGCAGGTATA